GACAAAGCCTTGCCATACAGATATTCTAAAAGGCATGTTGAATATTCTGATTTATACTCACAGACTTTTACTGTTATTATCACACTTCCACTACTGTTACCCAATGACGTCTCCTTTATTTGTGTGGACTTTTCCACATTAAAAAACCTTTTGCTTCTGTAATTTTGATTCCCACGGTAATGCCAATGATGGAAATTTTCCTAGGGAAAAAAAATCCACAGGAGTGAAAAGATATGCATGAAGATGTTTACCCCTGTTATGTATAATGATGAAAATATAAGTTCCAGAATGATATTCTATCAATGGCCACTCCGTATGTTTCAAGGTTAAAAATATAAATGCAAAATCTATATATCAAAAAGGGAAGGCATTTCTGTTATTCTGTTACATGACAAAAAGGACAATGTAAAATCGTATTTGTACTACCATGACAACTGAAACTGTGTGTGTCAACTCGATCCTAGTTGTAACATGAGCAAATATAAAGTTGGTTATGATGGCATAGCGTTTATAGTACCTTGTTCAAATGTTTAAGAAAATTTTAGTAATACTGCAGTTGTTCATTTTGTCATATCTATTTAATATTTTAAGATAAACTGAGTGTGTATTGTAATACTAACAAAAAAGATTTCAGATGCATGTGTTATATGAAACAATGCATCTCTTAGGGGCAAGACCGTAGGCAGAAAGAATCAATTTGGAGTCAGGCTGACCTCATGAGTCTAGAGTAGAACTGCCCCACCGGTTTTCAAGGCTGAAGCTTTGGGGAAGGAGCGTTCAGGCATTAGCATTTTTAAACTGTTTTCCAAGTGATTCTGGTGTACAGCTTGACTGGACAAGCACTATGAAAAATAATTGAGATGTTAGATTTTCAAATAATAAGTTCCTGAATGTTCACTTCTAGCATATGACTTTTAAGAATATAAGCTTTATATTAAAACTTTACTTATTCAAATGAAGCCTGATATGATGTAAGGAATCATAAGTACAGAATATCTTTACACTGTTGGAGTGACCAAATTTTTAAAAATAATGATAAGGTATGCAGTGTTGGTGAGAGAAGTAATCACTCTCATCCACTGAATTGAATGTATATTAATTAACTGCTGGAAGCAGTGTGACATTGTGTATCCAGAGCTTTTAATATATGTAAACTTTTTGTTCTGGGAATTCCACTTTTAAGAACATATCTTTAGAAAATAATCTGTCAAGCTATCAAAGATGTGTTAATAAAAATGTTAATGATTGTGTTGCTTTCAATATATATTTTAATAGAGTCAATCAAAATATCCACAACTGAGTGAAGAAGTCAGATAGTACCCAGGTTTCTGGAAGAATCTTAAAACAAGAAACCATCTACATGAGGTGTCAGCTAAGTCCACACAGAAGGCATACACCAGTCCATGTCATCCAAGGACTGTAAATAATAAAATCCAAGATCAAAGGAGAGAATTGTATTGGAGCTTAAACTCTGTGCCCTTGGTTTGCAGAAGACTCTGGATTTCAGTAAAAGCCCCAAATCCATTTACAGACACCCCACATTGAATTCCCTCAGACCATTGACCAGGGATGTGGCCAGTCTTACCCTCAGACAGAGTGCATAGGAAAGTGGATTATTTGTGGCTATAGTTAGGTTAAAAAGTAGCATACTGTCATTTGTTTTCCCTTGGGTTGAGGTTTTTCTGTGTCTTACCGTCCATGTTTACTTTGTTGTCGTTGTTATAGGAAATCCAGGATAGGTAACTCTACAGAGATAGTAACTAGATTAAGAGTTCCTTGGGAAACTATGGCCGGAGAGGTTGGGAGGATAATAGGGAGCTAATAATACTGAGTATAAGAATGAAGAAAATATTCTAAAATCGATTGTGGTGATGATTGCACAACACTTTTTCATATATTTTAAACCATTGAATGGTATGGTATCTGAATGTTATGTCAACGAAACTGTTAAATCCACAACTTGGAGTAAGTTAATTACGGCATATTCAAAAATGATACTAGTAAAATGATTCTGTAATTATATATGTATTACATGAAAAAATAGCAGAATATGTTGGTAAATGAAAAAGTTACAAAACAGCATTTATAGCATGATTCAATTTTTGTTTAACAGTGTATGTATGTATTTGTAATGTTTGTATATATTTGCATATGTATATATATTGGAAATCCAAGGAAACTACATCAAAATATTAATAATTGTTATCTGCACAGGTACTTTTCATTTTTCTATTATACTTTTATGCATCTTTAGCTTGTTTTTTTTGCTTATTGTGTCCCCCCTCCTCTAAGAGCAGGTACTAGTTTAACAAATAAAAAACCAAAAGCACTTTTTAATGAAAACAAAAACTTTTTTTTTTAATGAAGCACTGTTTAAGTTTTATCCAGCCATATGAACAAATGAAAACAGCCTATTTTTACCACGTCTGACTGTGGGAAAACATGGCTATTAAATAGTTAGCAACAGCAATCTCTGAAAATGCTAACATTCTTAAATATATTTATTTGCAAAACGGGTATTTTCAAGTCTGCAGTCAAGCTCCTTTTCCCAGTAGCATGTCATCTCTGATTACAATGCGCTGGATTAAAATGCATGGAAGTTCCATGTCATCGCTAACTGAGATGGTTGTTAGTTCCTTGCTATCGGGAGGCCGTTATTCATCGGCATGGCTTTGTCGCTGTTGTTTCCTAGGTGGCTCAGGACCATCGTCCTCCGTAGCGATAGCTGGCTCCAGTCATCCGGCCATCACAAAGACAACCTCTGTTCTTCAAGATGGCGTCATCGTCACCACCGCAGCCGGGAACCCACTGCAGAGTCAGCTGCCCATTGGGAGTGATTTTCCTTTTGTTGGCCAGGAGCACGCACTTCATTTTCCACCCAACAGCACGTCCAACAACCATCTTCCACACCCCTTGAACCCCAGCCTCCTCAATTCTCTACCTATCTCTTTGCCAGTGAATCAACAGCATCTCCTAAACCAGAATCTATTAAATATCCTCCAGCCTTCAGCAGGAGAAGGCAAGTCTGAGATCAACCTCCACCCTTTAGGTTTTCGCAACCCGAATGTAAACGCTGCGTTAGCTTTTCTCTCCAGTGACATGGATGGGCAGGTATTGCAGCCTGTCCACTTTCAGCTCTTAGCAGCCCTGCTTCAGAACCAAGCCCAAGCAGCTGCCATGCCTCCCCTGCCTTCTTTCAATCTGACCATCTCAGATTTCTTGCAACAGCAAAATACCCCTTTACCCTCATTAACACAGATGACAGCCCCACCAGACCATGTGCCAAGCAATCAGTCAGAGAACAGTCGAGCTGAGACCCTTTTAACCAGCCCCCTGGGGAATCCTTTACCAAGCTTTGCAGGCAGTGACACTACTTTTAACCCCCTGTTCCTCCCAGCTGTCACTGGGGCCTCAGGATTAATGGTCTTGAATCCCCAGCTGTTGGGAGGTGTCCTGAACTCGGCATCGGCCAACACGGCTAATCATCCAGAGGTTTCCATAGCAACCTCCCAGGCAACCACTACCACAACCACTACATCATCAGCAGTGGCAGCACTGACTGTCTCAACACTTGGTGGGACAGCAGTGGTGTCAATGGCAGAAACATTGCTGACTATATCTAATAATGCTGGGAACACAACGGGTCCAGCTAAACTCAACAGTAACTCTGTGGTGCCACAGCTACTTAACCCTCTACTGGGGACAGGTCTGCTTGGTAAGTGAAATCTTTCCACAAATTTTTATGAAAGAAAAGTTTTTCTAATTCTCTTTTCATCTTTTTTTTAATTAAAAAAATTTACATTTTGTCACACTTAAAAAAATGCTTTGTTATGTCACAGCTTGCCTAAGGAACTAAATATAATAACACCCACATACAATCACAGTTGTACCAACATGAGGGTGACATTCCAGCAACCCTAAATGCCAATTTAACCTGCTTTCTCTTACCTGCTAACTCTGATGCCACCTAACCTAACATGCCCATCATTCTCCTGAGCCAAGGAGAGTCTTATTCTCCTAGCAATAAAGCACAGGTCTGAAATCTAAAATGTAACTCTTTGATTTGAATTTTAGTTGGTGCGGCATCACAGGGTTAGTATGAGCAACTGCACTGTGGATGGAAACAATTTGAGGAAGTATTTTCCAAGTGAACTCTATAAATAAGCAAAAATAAATGCTTATCCCAACAAGTTGCGAAGTCAGACATGAAAACACTCAAAGCTGGACCAAGTTCAATGAAACAGCCCAAAACTGCGGCTAGATCTCTGCAGATAGCGGTCATCCTTTGACTCTAGAGTCTTCAACACTAATCCATTGAGTAGCTATAACTATCACCAACAAGCTAGAAAGTAATGTTAAGTAATATATATACGAACATTTATATGATCATATATACCACAATGGTATAGTTATAAAAAAACTCCAAGCACATGCCCTTAAAGTGTGAAGATTTGTTAAGGCATCTTCAATATATTAAAAATTATAATAACATTTATAGTTCCTGACTTTATGGAGAGTTAAAATACAACAAAATTCCATATATTTAGCATGGAAATCAATGAATTAAATCATCTAAAAAACAGTATAGTTGTACATATTTCAAGTTTCAGGTCAGATTATCTAAGCTTATCCTAAAGATAATGTCAAAGTAATTTCATTTAAGGCCTTCCATAAAATTTTAATGATTAATTGATAATGTGATGCTCTAACCATTCTTTTTAAGGATTATGAAGTTGAACTTAAATATTACTTAAAAATATGACACAAGCATAAGTTTTCTGTTATATTGTTAGCTTTTTTTTCCAGCTTTAATTTAGTGACCAATCTTTACTTCCATATAAAATGTATTTTCCTAACACAAGTCCCTAAAACTATTGAGTGATATTGATTGATGATTCTGACTTGAAAACAGAAATATTTAAACAAGGACTTAGGCCTGATCGGGACCACTCATCCAAATCATCTGATCAGAGATTTATGCATGCTAAAATATTATAGGACTAATGTCAACCTTTCATTTTAAGCTCACTAATAAAAATAAATTTAAGAAATCATATCACACAGACACTTAATATAGAAGAATTTGTGTGTGGATAGAACACCAACTCAATAGCCTCTCCATGATTATAAAACCAGAAAACTAATTATAAAAGATAAAACTAAATGACAAACCTAAGCTTTCCTTACCACTTAGTAAAACTTTAGGAGCCCTAGTGGGGCAGTGGTTAAGCGCTTGGCCGCCAACCATGAAGTTAGCAGTTTGAAGCCAGCAGCCGCTCTGGGAGAAAGGTGTGGCAGTCTGCTTCCATAAAGACAGACAGCCTGATAGACCCTCTGGGCAGTTCTACTGTGTTCTTTAGTGTCCCTGTGAGTCAGAATTGACTCGGCAACAGTGGGACAGTAAAATGTGAGGATAAAAGAAGAATTACCCACTTAATTCTAGCTCTAAGTTTTTGTTTCAGGAATCCTCAGTTACAAAGATAAGGCATAGCATGTCTGAAGAATCACACTGACTTACCTTGTATGTTTTTCAAACTACAGGTGACATGTCATCATTAAATAATACTTTGAATAACCATCAACTGACGCATCTACAGTCCCTGTTAAACAACAATCAGATGTTTCCTCCAACTCAGCAGCCACAGCAGCTTCTCCAGGGTTACCAGAATCTCCAGGCATTTCAAGGACAGCCCGCAATTCCTTGTCCGGCAAACAACAACCCCATGGCTTGTCTTTTTCAGAACTTCCAGGTACTCGCCTTCCCTGGGTCACTGGAGTAGAAAACATTGTCTGGATTTGCTTAGACACGTAATCTGGTTAAAGGAGGCAAAGAAGGAGAGACACTGTCACCGCCACCTACTGTTGCTTCTGGTTAATGGGCATTGTTGAAATGTTCCAGCCATTGGTGTAAACTGTTTTGTCTGAAAAACATCTCAGTCGTCCTTTGGGAGCTGTTGGTTAAAAGCCGATCCACTTACCTTCTGTGCCCTTCTGTGCTTTCCCATAGCTCTCAGGATTAAGACCTGCCCGCTTAGCAAGCCCAGCTTGTCGGCCACAGTCTAGCTCGGGCCCCACTTCAGTCTCCCCTGACCATTCTCCCTGCCTTGAGCCACATGGTCTTTCTTTAGTGCAACAAACGGAATTATGTTCCTGATAGACTACAGACCTACATGGAGAGATTAGCACTAAAAGAATATAAGAAGAAAATATAGAAAATTATACATGTGTGTATAACTTTGTGTTAGAGGAGCTTCTTTATGCAAGGCATAAACCCATGAAACCAAAAAGAACAAGAATAGTAGAGTTGAATATAGAAAACTTTCACATATCTATATTATAAAGGGTAAGGAGCCCTGGTTGTGCTGTGGATGGAGCACTGGGTTGCTCGATGCAAGGTTAGTGGTTTAAACCTGTATTAGTCTAGGTACTTTGGAGAAACAAATCCACAGCAACTCATGTATAAGAGAGAGTTTTATGTAAAGAAAATGTGCATCACGAAAACATCCCAACCCAATGCTGCCCAAGCCCACAAGTCCAAAATTAACCCAGCACCAGTCCACAAAGTCCTCCACCTCACAAAACAGAGGCAATGATGCCGACTGCAGGAGGAAAGCTGAGTCAGTGAATGTGTAAGCATCTCAGCACTAGCAGGGGTCCCCACACGGCTGCTCCAGCACCCAGGGCTGCATCGGGATAGATCCATGCGGCTTCTCCTTGGGGATGTCTTGTAGGAAGTCAATCTTGCAAGCTGAAGCAGGGAACTGCTAAGGCAGCTGCACCCTGGTGCGACCATCACAAAGCAAGAGACCCAAGAACTAGAAAGGCGAGGCTCACCACCCATTTATCCTTCCGCCTTTCAGTTAGCCCCACATGTGTTTATCGGCCAGGTTGGCACAATTAACTAGCTCACCTGTCTTTGGGCATATCTTGAAATGTCCGTCTTTCCCTGTGAGACCTTGCAAGCACTCGCTCTCTCTCACTGCGCCCTGTCTGTTTCTTCCAGGTGAGAATGCAGGAGGATGCGGCTCTCCTAAACAAAAGACTGAGCAATCAGCCCGGGCTCACAGCACTTCCGGAGAATCCCAACACTACACTTGCGCCTTTCCAAGATGCACCTTGTGAGCTGCCGCCGCGGATGGACCCACCTCTTGGTCAGCAGGTGAAGGACGGCCTCGTCGTGGGTGGCCAAGGTGATGCTTCCGTCGATGCCATTTACAAAGCAGTCGTGGAGGCAGCCAGCAAAGGTATGCAGGTTGTCATCACCACTGCAGTCAACAGCACCACTCAGATCAGCCCCGTTCCGGCGCTGAGTGCCATGAGTGCCTTCACCGCCTCCATTGGTGACCCGTTGAATCTCTCCAGTGCTGTCAGTGCGGTCATCCATGGGCGGAACATGGGAGCTGTCGACCACGAGGGCAGGCTGAGGAATGCAAGAGGGGCTCGGCTGCCCACAACTCTCGACCACGGGAAGAACGCCAACGAAGGAGATGGGTTTGAGTATTTCAAATCAGCAAGTTGCCAAGCATCCAAAAAACAGTGGGATGGGGAACAGAGTCCTGGAGGGGAGCGAAACAGGTGGAAGTGCGAGGAATTTTTAGATCATTCAGGCCATCTACACAGTAGTCCTTGTCATGAACGATCCAACAATGTCTCCACACTGCCATTTCTGCCTGGGGAACAGCACCCAATAATGTTACCACCAAGAAACTGTCAAGGGGACAAGATTCTGGAAGAAAATTTCAGGTATAATAACTACAAAAGAACTTTGATGAGTTTTAAGGATAGACTAGAGAACACTGTGGAGAGATGTGCACACATTAATGGGAACAGAGCCCGACAGAGTCGGGGCTTCGGGGAACTGCTGAGCACGGCAAAGCATGACCTAGTCCTAGAGGAACAATCTCCAAGCTCCTCGAATAGTTTGGAAAGTTCTCTGGTCAAAGACTATATCCATTACAATGGAGACTTTAATTCCAAAAGCATGAATGGATGTGTGCATAGTCCATCAGACGCTAAAAGCATTAGTAGTGAGGATGATCTAAGGAATCCAGACTCCCCTTCTTCAAATGAGTTGATACATTATAGGCCAAGGACGTTCAACGTTGGCGACTTGGTCTGGGGCCAAATCAAAGGACTGACTTCTTGGCCTGGAAAATTAGTAAGAGAAGACGACGTTCACAATTCATGTCAACAAAGCCCTGAGGAAGGGAAGGTATACCAATCTCTATCCATCGTTAAGTATTAACCCTGGTCCCAATATTAACCTTTGTTCAGTGATTGTTTTATGTTGCCATCATTTGTAGATGTGAAAGTAGGCTCCTTGATGACTCTGAGCTCTCACAGACTTCTTGGTTGAGTGTCGAAGCATTTGTAGATCCCACTAGGGTTCAGGGGGGCTCTAACCCAAGAACGAGATTTCCAGAGTTTCCTCCATTCTGCCTTCCTCCCTGCATTTACCTAAAGCTTCCTTCCAAACCCAGAGGAGGAGGACAAGTGGTGGTCACAGGGGTGTGGTTTACCTATGGGGGTCTAGGTGTGTGGCGGAGCTAGTGTCCTACCCATCGGGTGACAGGAAGCGTGTCTCCAGTTGCCAAGGGACAAACTCCATTTGCTTACATTTTGGGAAGCTGAGAAAGGGACAAGCCCATCGGGGCTGCAGCAGTTTCTGGTAGCAGCAGGTATGCCTGAGTTCAGAATGGTGTCTCCTTTCAGGAAAAGATCTGGGGCTTTGCAGCATATGGAAATGTTTATCCGCATAGTCTGGTTCTACTTACCACAATCTGATCATATAAATGAAATGAAAACTCCTCCATGAAACTTCTATTCAATTTAGAAGAAATTAGTAGGGGTCTTCTGGACCTTTCCCCTCATAAATGCTTGCTTCTGAGAAAGGAAATGGGATTGGGGTGAATTGGCTCACTAAGCAAGAAATATGTAGAAAATTTAAAGTAGATAGAAAGATTTATATCTGACCAGGAAGAGATCATTATGCACATTCCCCACGTATAATGAAAAAGCATCTCCCTAGGTATTAAAAATGATTCTTAAAGGTAAATATACATAGATATGTATATTATTCTCTTAAAGAGTATATTGTGTAAAGCCATTTCAACTCCACTCAAAATGCCACTGGCACTTACTTTAATGGCAGGAAACCAAAAGCATTTTTTACCAGTACAATAAAAGGATTGTCTTTCTCCAAATGGCTAGAAGGTCCTCATACCCTTTGCTTGTAATGCCTAATATGTACTTGTCAGGATACACTCTGGGCATAATGCTTTTACCTTTGATAAGAAAATGAATTCCATACTCTTTTCACAAAATATTTTGTGCTCTGTGCTCTCAGAGACCACACTGGCATTCTTTAGGTTGATAAACCTAAATGTTATTGACAGTTTATTCAAGAAATAATTGGAAGCAGCAAACACGAGCTTTTATAGCATAGGTGGTACATCTACAAACACAAGCGGTGTACATTGAACAATCCTGCACTCTTTGCCAATGAACCATCTTTCACATGTGCTGCTTAACTAAAGAGAAGATTATGGGCTGCCTTCCTGGAAACATTCTTCCTGCCCTAAATACCTTGTCTAAATATCTTTTTATATCCTTGAGAGAATAAAGGCATGTACTTTTATCACATTTCACTTTAAACAATGGCCCTAATCTTCTGATTAATCTGTTCACAAACTCCTGAGATTGAGTTACTCGCTGATGTTAGGGAAGATAAATATTTTTTTGAATCATGATCAAAAAGTTTAAGAAAGATCTCTTTTCCATTCATTTTAATAGACAACTCGTTACACACTGTAGAATAATAAGTATTTCAAAAGTCTAGTTTTTTATTAATAAAAGGTTCATTTCTACTAAGGAGCACAAGCTTGCTTCTATAAATTCAAATATCCCTTCTCCCACTGATTTGCATTGTGATTCTACATTTTCAAGTAAAAGCCTTCCTGATAAAAATTATTTTAGTAATTCAGAAAAAAAGTTTTGAGGCAAACATTTAGAGGTAAAAAGACTGAAGGAAAGAAAAAAGAAACCTTAAAGGTAATGCATGAAATATTTACAGGTTTTCTTGCTCTCTGAAAGTAACACATCCCACTGAAAACTTTTTTTTTTTTTAACATTTTATTAGGGGCTCATACAACTGTTATCCCAATCCATACACACATCAATGTGTAAAGCGCATTTGTACATTGTTTCTCAAAACATTTTCTCTCCATTTAAACCCCCGACATTAGGTCCGCATTTTTCCCCTCCCTCCCCGTTCCCCCCTCCCTCATGAGCCCTTGATAGTTTATAAATGGATATTTTGTCATATCTTGCCCTGTCCGACGTCTCCCTTCATCCACTTTTTGGTTGTCTGTCCCCCAGGGAGGAGGTCACACACAGTTCCATGTAATCGGTTCCCTCTTTCCTACCCATTCTCCCTTTACCCTCCCTGTTTTGCCACTCACACCACTGGTCCTATAGGGCTCATCCATCCTGGATTCCCTGTATTTTCAGTTCCTATCTGTACCAGTGTACCTCCTCTGGTCTAGCCAGACTTGCAAGATCAAATTCGAGTCATGGTAGTGGGATCGGGGAGGAAACGTTTAGGAACTAGAGGAAAGTTGTATTTCTCATCATTGTTACATCGCACCCTGACTGGCTCATCTCCTCCCCGAGACCCCTCTGCAAGGGGATCTCCCCACTGAAAACTTTTGTAAGCGGAAACGGCATCAACTGAAGACTCAGTTATCAGTAGCTTACATGGGAAACATTGTTAAGCCTTCCCAGACCCCCAGATTATCCCACCAAATCAGACACAAGAGCACCAACATGCGGTGTTCCCGGACACCATCCCGAGCTGTGGGAGCGTGCTGCTGAAAGGAGGGGATCCTGGTAAGGTCTTGGTGACCCCCCTCTAGTTGCCCTGAGGTGGTGCTGCTGGGGAATGGTTCAAGTTACACCTCTTTTGTAAAATCAAAAATCCTCTTCATCTTTGTTCCCGTTAGAGAAAACAGATACTAATTAATGCAGACCTTTTAAAAAAGTTTAAATCATTTTATTGGGGGCTCTTACAGCTCTTATAGCAATCCATCCATCCATTGTGTCAATTACATTTGTTCATATGCTGCCATCATCACTTTCAAAGCATTTTCTTTCTACTTGAGTCCTTGGTATCAGCTCCTCGTTTTTTCCTCCCTCCCTCATGAACCCTTGACAAATTAGAAATTATTATTTTCATATCTTACATCATCCATTGTCTCTCCACCCACTTTTCTGTTGTTCATCCCCCTGGGGTGGGAGTTATATGTCGATCACTGTGATCGATTCCCCCTTTCTCCCCCGACCTTCCTCTTACCCTCCTGGTATCTCTATTCTCATTGTTGGTCCTGAAGGGTTTATGTGTCCTGGATTCCCATGTTGTGGACTCTTACCTATAGCAGTGTACATGTTCTGGTCTAGTCAGATTTGTAAGGTAGAATTGGAATCATGATAGTGGGGAGGGGGGAAGCATTAAAGAACTAGAGGAAAGTTGTATGTTTCATCCGTGCTATTCTGCACCCTGACTGTTTCATCTCTTCCTTGTGACCGTGCTGTAAGGGAGTGTCCAGTTGTCTACAGATGGGCTTTGGGTCTCCACTCTGCACTCCCCCTCATTCACATCCATATGATTTTTTGTTTTGTGTCTTTAATGCCTGATACCTGATCCCATCGACACCTTATGATCACACAGGCTGGTGTGTTTCTTCCATGTGGGTCTTGTTGCTTCCAAACTAGATGGCCATTTGTTTTATCTTCAAGCCTTTGAGACCCCAGATGTTATATCTTTGGATAGCCGGGCACCATCAACTTTCTTCACCACATTTGTTTGTATACCCATTTTGTCTTCAGCGATCATGTCAGGAAGGTGAGCATTACAGTATGCCGAATTAGTAGAACAACGTGTTCTTGCATTGAGGGAGTACTTGAGTTGAGGCCCAATGTCCATCTGCTACCTTAATACTTAACATATAAATATAAGTACATAGATCTGTTTCCCTATCCTTATATATAAATATATTTATATATGTACGTGCCTGTATTTACACCTCTATAAATGTCCTTTGCCTCCTAGTTCTTTCTTCTATTTCCTTTAGCGTTCCTCTTGTCCCACTATCATGTTCGGCCTTCATTCGGGTTTCAGTAATTCCTCGCGTTACACTGCCCTTGATTAAGCCCCACTAGGCATCCTTGGCCCTTTTCTCCATTGATTTTAGTTCACGTGTTGTTCCCTTGTCCCTGGGTTGGTTGATATCCCCTTCCTTTCTCCCTTCATGTAGATCTTTTGGAAAAGCAAACTGCTGTAAATCGTACTTTGAGAAAGCTGGGGAAGGTGTGGAGTACCCAGTAAGCAAGGTAAGCAAGGACTTATTTTTGCTTTCTTACTCATTTGTACAGTCAGCACAAGTAAGCAAGCACCAATAAGCCCATGCTTACCTTTCTTACTGGGAACTTGAGCACTGTCAGAGTTTGTTAATTTGAAAAGATCCTTTTGAGTCTGCAGGAAGTGCTGGGTTTGGGAGACGGATGCCAGCCATACTTAGAAGGAAAATATTTGATATGGTGGAAATTAAAATTAGTAAGTAAGCACAAGTTAAGTCAGTGTTTACCTCGATTATTGGATAATCAGACTCTGGGTGGCAGAAAGCTATATTGTTAAAAACCTGGTACAACAGCCTTAAAAGCTTAAGGACACTGGACATTGTTTTTACACCCTACTTGTTTCAGGACCTCTTTTTTTGCACACAAGTACTACATCACAAACACTTTTTTTTTAGCTAGCAGTTCATAAAACAAAGGAGAGTTCTGGACACACGTCTGCCTGACTCCAAGCCAAGTAACCTTTGCTTAATTTATTGATGGCCCTGATGCATCAAGGGAAAAAATTATGTCCAATGTCTGTATAAGACAAAGTATGATATAGTTGAGAAAAAAACTGGCAGTATTTTTTATCTGTACTTTAAACCAGTAAACGAATTACTATGTAAATTTTATTTACATAAGATCCCTTTCTCCCCAACAATGTTGGATGAATGAAATCTTCTGGATTAATAACCAGACTTCTGTTTTTGAAAAGATAAGCAATGCATTAGTTTCCCATCTGTTTGCTGTGGAAACATGTAAGAGACAGAGAGACAGCTCCATAAACAATGTATTTTTAAAGTGAAATGTTATTCAGTC